CCTGCCTCAGGCGGTGGGGTAACGGGTCGGAGACACTTCCCCCTGGTAAGAACAGCGGGGGTCCCGCACACACACACACACACCCCCCGGGGTGGGGGCGGTTGGGCCGGCTTTGCTCTGATTTAGTTAAAAAGCCCGGCCTATTGCTGGCCATAATTGGTGCTGTAACTATGGGACGGGGCATCGCTGCAGCTCGATTTACGTCTCTCTCTCAGCACTGCTCCTGACCCATTTTTTTTTTTCGAACCAATGAAAGTGAATTTGGTCCGTCTCTCGCATGTTTCTGCCTTTACTTTTGAGGACTGGTTACCGATTTGTTAGAATTTAGCAGGGAAAGTGTAAACCTGCTGGCGGGAAGGCTCTGCGAAGATGTTCTCCTCTGGCCTGTTCCCATTCTGCAGCACACCAAGGACTCTATGAGATGGTTCTTGTCAAAAGTAAGATGTTACGCTCAGTAAATCTGAGGCGTCTGAGTAAATGCTATTAAAACAAATTTAAATTACTAATTGGGCTGGAACAAGGGTGTCCCTGCTGACTGCGGGGAGGTCAGACTAGATGACCTTTGGAGGTCCCTTCCGGCCTGGGCAATTCTATGATTCTATGAAGTTACAAGAAGATGGGTTTGATGCTGCCTGGGATACCTCCAAAGGGAACATGTAGTTTGATAAATGATGGTGGTGAAGAGTATCAATGTCCCACATATTGGATTCTCTCCTGTTGCGCGGTGTCTCCATCAGTGTAATCCTGAATAATCAGAGTCCATCTTACATTTGGACCAGAGTCTTACATTTGTTACAAATTGTGCTGCAGCTAAATAATAACATTCTCTTGCTCCTTTCAATCAGACTTTACGTTTGAAGGTAGCCTCTCAATTCCAGGCATTTACAACGTGTTTAGCAGTCTGCAGAAAGCCAGAAACACATTTGTCCCAATTCACAGTTCTGTTAACAGAGTCCTGCTACGTTCATACTCCTGTGGGGGAATAAGTGACCTTGAAAAAAATGACAATGGGACCAGGCTGCTCCCTCGCAGCCCAGATCTGGGACAAACGGAGCCCGTCTAATGCTCTGCATACACTTAGAGAGCTTCAGACAAGTTTATTTGGATGTATTTTCACCCATTTGCTAGGGGAACCCTTGGCATTCTCCCCTGACTCCTGGAGGGGGACATGAGCAGGATGAATCAGGATGTGAAAGTGGGGGGTTCACAGCTTTTGTGGGGCGGGGGACCCTTGCCCTGGAGCCAGGCTTGAGGCAAGGGGCAGATACTGGTCTCTGGGTGTGTCGAAAATAGGGCAGTTCTCCACCCATCCCTCCCCACAGAAATTCTGTGCGAGGGAAGTTCTGTTTACTTGGGTCAGATTGTAGCAGTTTAAAGGAAGGTCATGATTTGGGCCTAAACAATTTTGGCTTACTGCCATTTCAACTCATTTGCAAAGCTATAAATAGGAATGATTTCAGAATACTCTGAAAAATAAAAATCAATGGGCAGAAGAAGCCAGCTGAATTGTATTTCAAAATATTTCCAGATATGTCCTTAAATGAGGCAGTGAGATATTATTTAGCACGAAGACTGCCTCTCGTAAATATTAACCTAGTTTATTTTTAATGAGGATTGGCTGCATTTAATTAGTGTTTGAAAGATCTCATTTTAGAAAACGTAGGTCTCACCCCTGGCTAGAAGAGGTGTTAAATGACCTAAATAATCTCTTCCATTTTTAGATGCTGCCGCCCACCGTGATGCTGCCCGCGATCTGTGCCATTCCCCAAGGACAGAGCGGAGAGAGCTTTGGTTTGGAGAGGTCCTGCTGCTGCTCCTCCACCAGCCTTCCTCCCAGGAACACAGGCTGTAACTCCTGGCAGCTCCCAGCAGCTGACAGGGCCACCAGAGCTCTTAGTAACTGCTCCAGTATAAAGCAAATATTCTTTGAGCTCCTTTAATCCATCCACAAGACCGATCCACTGCTTATCAGCTGCAAGAGGCAAACCCCATAATTATTGTCATGTAGTGGGTGTTGCTTGTGGACAGTCTGTCTCCAAGGTGGTCATTGCCAAGTGTCATTTTCCAGCTCTTCTACATATGACGTGTGTGATGAAGAGTGACCTGACCATCCCTTTAGGTTTGCTGTTTGAGCAAAAAATGGTGTAGAAAACACCACCTGAAGCGGTTATTTTCACCATAAAAGAGGCATTTCTTAGAGCAGTTGTCTGTTAGATCCTTCCTACAGACTGTGGTGTTGCTTCACCAGTACAACTGGCCTGGCAGGGTTCAAGATCACTCTGTCTGGGTTTACCATGGTTATTAGTTGAACATCAACACATACTCTTACTGTCAAAGGCAGCCTTGAAGACAGAGTCTCTTGGACCCAGTAATTTGAGTAGAATTGAGGGTTGGATAGTTACATCCTTTAAAGGTCCAGCAGATGTGCCTGTGTGGTTCTGGAGGAAATTTTGCTCCACGATGTTTGGGGTGGATATTCCCTTCATAAACCATTTGCACATCTCTTTCAAGGAGAACGTGCACATGCCCGAGTATTTCAGGGCTGCTGAGTCCCAAGGTGATGTGCGGGACGTGGGCAGCTCTGTGAATTGGTGTACGGACTTGGAAGACATGAAAATCAGGTGGCCATGCTTGGCTTTAAAAAGATTTCACTGACAGAGTCTGAACGAAATAGGTCTCTGGGGCTCCAAACAGCAGGCATTGTCAGATATAAGGGATTAAAAGGCTTTTTAATGTGGCTTAGTAGTGTACAGAAGATTGGCTTACTGGTATGAGCTCGTCTTTCGTCACATTGATCTTTATTTTGCATTGTGCTTAGGACAACAGAAACTGGAGGCTGAAGTCTTCTTTCCCAAATCATCTGACAGGACTTGTCCCTCTCACAGCTTATTAGAATCTTTTTTCTGTGAAAGAGGAATCGATTTTTGCCAGTGTAGGCAGCATTGAGTAATAGCTGAAGAATACCAAGTTGTGATAATTTTCTGAACGCTGTATGAGGCCAGGTTGGTGAGAGGAAGTTACTATACAGTGGGTTATACACTTTATATTGCTTTCCTGTATAGATGTATTGATCTAACTTAATAGGGAGCTGGCTGATGAAGGAATAAAAGGCAATTCAGTGGTCCCCCTGTCAGCTGTATGTGACCAAACCCATGAGGTGGTAATTGCAAGACGATAGCTCCAATTCCAAGGGACGCAGCTGGTTTGTCAGGCTGAGAACTAAAAATCAGAGGAGGATAAAGTTGGCAGAGACTGACAGAAGAAGTGATTTAAACTTCTTTGCAGAAAAGGCTGGAAGACGCTGGGCCTTCCCCTCTGCAGCACTGGATGGTAAGTTACACAGAAGGAAAAGGTGAGTGTGTTGACTGGTTTATTGTTTGTAAAATCTATTTTGTCTTAAACGGTTTGGTGCGAAGTGTTGTGTGGTCAGTGCTCAGAGTCATTGACTTCATCAGAGACTGAAACGGCGAGGCCTGGGTCTGTCCCGGGTCTGGGGAGGTAACGGTGGTCAATACACTGGGGATGCAACCCAAGAGCTGGTCTGCACGGAGTGAAAAAAGACAGCTAGAGATCTGGGGAAACAGTTAACTCGTCACTTGCAACAGCAAAACGCAAACACAATCACAGTTTTTGTTTTTTTCTTATTTGAAAATTATTTTGTTTATAAATAAGTGGCTTTTATAATAATAGGGCCTTCACAGACAGGCTAAACCTTGGTGTTTTAATGTGTGTGGGCTTTTTTAGGGTTTTTGTTTGTTTGCTTTTTAAAATATGCCATAGTCACATAGCATCAAAGGTAAGAAGAGATTTATTACATAGATACCAGTAATATAAGTATCTCAGTTTTGTCTAAAATACTGGTTAGTTCCTGTTGCTCAATTGAAGCATAATACAGTAAAAGTGGTTTTTATTTTGTTGGCCTTTTATTCACAATTTATTGTACTGTTGTTTTCACCACTTACCATAAATAATCAATTGGATGTCCCCTGCTGTTACCATGGATATTTAATACATTGACACAGAAAAAAGACATTCTTATGAAAAGGAAAATGCAGCTACATAACTCCTCTTGCATGGCGTGGAAGGCTGTGTGGTATTTTATGTGGGCACGGCCAATAATGCCTTTCTGCTTCATGTTCTTATCTACCACCTACACAGATGGCTGTCCATCCCACCCCCTGCGCTTTAGGAGGCTGATGTTGAGGAGAGCATTAGGTGGGACATGGCTCCTGGTGACCGTTCTCCCTCCCTGGAGCGGATGAGAAGGTCCAGGTGCAGGGTTGTAGGACAGTTGGCTTAGAACTCAGAAGCGCTTCCTGGAGGAGTGGTAAATGCTGTTGATGAGAATGGTCCAGCCTAAACAGGAATCCAAGACCCTCCCTTCAGGCTCTTCAGTCTGTTGTTGGGGTTTGGGTTTTTTTTTGAGATCAAAGGAGAACACAGTATTTTGAACAAAATGCGCAAGGGCCCACCCTTCCTGAATTGCACTTTTGGTGGTGTCTTCTGTCCTGCAGCTGTAACACTCCTTAGAAGGGTTTGGGTTCTCCCTCTTCCCCCTTTTTTTTTTAAAATATATGTCATGAGAACATTTTAATAGACGTTTTCACAGGAGTTTCTGATCCCACCCTTTTCTCATTGTGCCTGGGTGTTCCATGAGGAGAGCTGCTGATCGTTACCAGCTCAAGTCTAGCACCTTTAATTCATCAGAACTTCGTGTAATGTATTACTTACATTAGATGTAGGTGCCAAAACTGACCTGTAAACCTAAAATTAAATTGGGACTACAAAATTAATTTCACTTAGATGGTGGAAATTAGACTATAAATGGAATTCCTGTGGGAACTGTGTAAACCTTCTCTGACATTGATTTAATGTAATTCTTTTCTTAATAGGGTAACCTTTAAATTGCAGAACCAGTACACGGTTTGAACCAGCACAGATCTGTAGCAAATTTTGCAGTAAGGTGAGTGTTAACAGGAGCGTTCCGTGGTGTTTCTGACTGTAAGGATTACAGCAGATAGCTTTCTTGCAGCTGACTAGAGACCCGGGTGTCATACCCCCTCCCCAAACCCCGTTAGCAGAGCTAACGAACGTGCTGTGTGCCAGGCACCTCCAGTCAGTCCCTAAGGGTTAATTTATAAAGTGCACGTGCACAGGACGACATACATTTAGGGTAAAGCTTTATTTTGTGCTCAAAACTGACTTCAGAATCTGAATTTCAGGGTTTGTACCTGGATCAGAATTTCCTGTCCAAATCACAATAATTAACCCCTAATTTGGGAGAATTTTGAATGAAAGACCTACTTTTTCAAATTGGACCCAGGAATTCAAGGTCTGACTAGCTCTGGAGCAAAAATCTGCATTCTCTTGCTAGATGGCAAGTGAGTGTGCTCATTTTATGCATGGAATTAATTTGAGGACTGAGATTACTCTGATTCATTCAAATGTTTATGCTGCAGATGACAGCATATTTTGTTTGCCATGCTGCTAGCAACAGTATTAACAATAATCTTTTCTTTTCTTTCTTGAGATTTAGAAATATTATTGTTTTTAAAGGTAACACATTCAGATCTGATTCTTCAAGTTTTTCTCTGAATGTGACGGCATTCAGAGGCCTGAATTAATTCATGCTCTGTCTTTGCGTGAGAGCTCATGCATTACTCATGCATTAGATTGTCTCTGCAGGGGAACATTTAGGGTACTTTGGATAATTTGACCTGTGAAAACATTAATTTTTAATGTTTTACTGAAAGTCACTCAGAATATCCTGACGTTCCGTAAATGTATGATAATGCTTTTAAACAGAGTGAAAATACTCTGAATGCTGGGTCATCTCAAAATTTGCTTCAAGTTTTCTGGGATCTGTTACTCGGCAAGACTTCTGTGATATTTAACATACTGTCCTGGTCCTTTCCTAAGCTGGTAGGTGCAAAAGCTGTTCTCCTGACTGTCAGGCTGTATAAAGAGCACTGCCGTACACCAGACCTCCGTCATTTCAGATATTCAAAGTAATCACTAAAAGGCTGCCTTTCGCAGCACCTCAGTCACCCAAGCCACTATTAAACATAGTCTTGTATTAGTAGAGTTCTTAAAATGAATTAATTCTTCCAGACACAGCTGGAACAGCTGGAGCTACCTGCTATCAGCAGCTGTGTTGATAGCAGGTAGCCCTTGCATCTCCATTCCTCCTTCTGCATGCTTAGGGCTGATCTTCTGATCCTGTTGGTTTAATCTCTTAATTGTCTATCTGTCCTTCCAAGAAGATGCTGCCCCTTCCTTCATGAAGTCAAGTTCTTTGTTCTTTCCAAGGTTTTGTTCCAAGGTGTGTCAAAGGACAAGCTTCAAGACCCCTCTGCACTGCATTTGCAAAGAAAAGTAAAATGTGCTGAATGAGAATCCACTTTAAAATGGAAAACTGCACACAAAAACCCCACCACCAGCAAGGACTTGAGACAGCTTTTGGGAGCTAAATAATACGCATGTTCTTCCCCTAACTCCTAAGGAATAATGGTATGGGAAGGGTATTTTGCACAAATACACTTCCAAAAATGAAGGTTAAATTAAATAAAATAGAGAGACTCCCAAACTTCATTAACTGAAATTTAGACCATCCTGAAGCCTCTCCTATTACAGCTTGATCCAGCCCTACTCAATAATGAAAACAGTTTACATGACCAGGGGAAGGTGAGTCTGCCTTTCTGATGAGGCACAACTTTGTAATTGAAAATGCTACAAATAAAATTTGTGTGTTGCAGAAGTAAAAATGACAGCCACAGCTTAAGACATTCCCCGGAACGATTAGATGGGACTTGAAGCTACAAGATCAACCCTCAAAACACCTTTACTTTTACGATCTGTAGTGAAGGTAGCCATCTATTATGGGGTATGTTCTGAATTGTAATCATAACAGTGTTAGCTGCTCGGCCTATAAAAACTGTAAAGGAATATGAAGATCTTTAAGCTATAAAAAGCATGTTGGTCTGATTCTATAGGTACTCTGAACAAAACACAGTGGGCTTCAATAAAAAGGAAATGCAATTTAATTTGCCTCCATCACTGATAAGTATTTCTGGCTGTGCTGCTTTTGTCTCTTGCACGGGCAAGAAGAGCAGCAGAGTCTGGGGAGAGGCTGAATCGGTGTTTCTCCAGCAGCTCACTCCACAACCAGCACACTCTGAACAAGTTCCTCCTGGACACGGAATTCTGCCCGAACAGAGAGAGTTGCAAGGTCAGAGCCAAGTGTGAAAAATATCTCCCTGTCAAATTAAAGCTTTTATTTGCGTGACAGGGAAATGCATGGTGGTGTTTGGTGCAGTGCTGGATATACTGAATGACTTGTGCACTTACCAAAGGGAATCAGATTACTTTTGAGATCCACATCTGAATGTAGCACCAGCTATTAAAGAAAGCCAAAGTTGGCTTGGTTTGCTCTAGTAAGAGAAAACAGAATTGAAGAAAGTATTTCCCAGCAGAAATTCAGTGAATATATTTTATGCTGTAAGTCCAGCATTCCAAAATTGAATCTTTAGCCTTTTTTTTTTCCCAGTGAATGTATGCATGATCCAGTAATAACAAAAGTTACCAGAAACATATTTTAGTAAAACCTCATTAATCGGGGCAACCTGATACAGTATACCTGATGTTCATTATATTTAATGAGAAATCACTGAGCAAACGTGCTCATTAGTGACTTATTGGACAGCTTTGCGGAAGGTACTTGCCCAAACCCCGGCTGCCGTTGCTGTACGTTTAACAAGCCCCATTGATAGCTATGGTCTAACAGCTTCCTGTGGCCCAGGCAGCCTGGCTGTCTGTCATAACATGATACAGCCCTCAGAATGGAGGCTGCAGACCCAGCTGGTTGTTTATCAGGCTGCCAAAATCTTGGATTCCACATCCTCCTCTCCTGCTCCTCATGCTACGTGGGCACTGGGCAAGCTGCTGCTTCGTGTGGCCTGTCTCCCCGGTGGCTCGCAACCCACGTAGCCCTTCTGTGTCTTTATCATCTCAGTAGTCCTGGCTGCAGAAAGCCTCCTGAACACACGCTCCTGCCTACAGACTGCTTTTCTTGTGTATTTGCCTGCTGCGGGCTCTTGGTTGATTAGAGGACTATGTACAATGACGGAATTGGGGTTGAAGCGTTCGCTCCACGGAATGATTTCTCTGCTCTGAGCCTGCTCTCCCTTCAGCGCTTCCACGTGAAGAGAAAAGCCCCCGGTCACTCATCAGCCATCAGCCCGGCCATCACTAACGTCTACCAGCAGCACTCGCTGTGATGGCTCCTTCACGTCCCAAATTTAAACTTCCTGGAGCCCAAGTCTAAAAGGCAAGAGAGAAGACAGTGCTATTTACAACTAAAACGCCTTCCACAAGATAAAAATGAAGACTGAAGAGCGAAATAGGGCTCTGCAGACATCAATCTGTGTGGTTTGGTTTGTTCTGGATAACGGAAAAGTAGTCTATACCCAGAAAAAGCCCTATTTCTTAAAGTTTTGTGGTGTTCAGACATTCTGGAGTTGTACGTTAGTAACAGCACAGCTTTTTTTTTTAAATCCCCCTTCTAAGAGCCTAGTATTGCTGAGATACCAGTTAAAATCAGGAGACTGGGTGCAAGGAGCCCAGTTCCCATCAGACAGAGCAGTGAACACAGACACTCGTCATCCTACTTAAAAAAAAAAAAAAAAAAGGGCAACCAAAAGAAATCGCATAACTTGTGTTCCAGGAGCTGGTCCATCGTACTTTAAAAAAAAAAAAACCAA